ACGGCTCCCATCAGGCTGCTTTGATTTCTGTTGAAGCACAATTCAAAGCAACGTCATGATGTTCATTAGATGTTTATTTATTATGACTTTGGCCAGTTTCAGCTGATTCCAGTGACTGAAGCTGCTGGTTTCCTTCTCTAATGGGAGGCTGTGAACACATCTGAGGACGACTGTTGTTGAAGTGTTTGGTTCAGTGTTCAGAACCTGAGCATTTAATTCTGATTTATTTATTCGGACCGTTGCATCTGAAATTCCACCCTGACATGATGTTTAAAACTCTAACGTTTGTCTAAAACCTGATGTCTGGGGCAGTTTTACTGGACATGACTCCAGCACCCATATCCCACAATGCAATGCAAACCTGACGCTCAGCTCTAACGTCTGCTGCTCCTCGCTTTGAGCTCAATATGAAAGTTTCTCTGTGTGATGGGAGGCTGGTAGAGACACGGGGCTGGTGAGTTACCATGGTAACACACCTCCACCTGGCAGTGGAGCTTTCAGGAAGTGACGTGTTGCTGCGCTGAACGATGCGTCTGGAAAGATGAATGCTGCAGAAAACTGTTAAACAACATAATGCCATGCATATTATGGGATGTCAGATGCAGCTTGTGAGCACATATGGTGGACATCAGATTAGAACATTTAAAAGGCCGTTAATGTAAATATAAGGTCTAATATCATCCAGATTTTTAGCTGGACTTTGTGAACTGGTCGTTTTGCCAACTTTGAACGCTCCAGATCTGTGAAGGATATCACATAACAAACAGTGGGAGGGAGGCGGTGGAACAGATGTGAGCACACGTTGACCTGGTCTGTGTTTGAGTCGTGGTGAATATCAAACGGCATCATCCTCATCACATCTCGTCTGACACGTATTTACTTTAATAGTGTCTTTTGTTTGTCTTTTTAAGGAATGTTAACAAATGACTGAAGTGTCAGACATCTCCACGTGAACTGGACGGTGCCTTGTGCATGTTTTGCACATGATTTAATCTTCTTTGTGTCATCGATGTTTGATTGTAGGTTGTGCGTTTTTTTGTGTGTGTGTGTAAATTAGATTGTGCAGACTCCTCAGGATGTGCATTGTTGCCTCACAGCAGAAGGAATCGAGGTTAATCAGCCGCTCTAAGCTAGCGTCTGCTGAGTGTCTGTCAGGCCTGTGATTGACTGACTACCTGTCCAGAGTGCCTCCTGCCCACTGGGATGAGCTCCAGCCCCCCACAGCCCTCAGAGAATGAGCAGCTACACGTAAAGGATGGATGGATGGAAATTTGCAAGTGGTTTACAGGAATAACACCTTGGTACGCCTCCCTCCCCCTCTGCCGTTCCCTCCACCCTCCATCCATCCACCCAGACACTCCTGTCCCTGCAGCCTCTGTGGGTTTGACAGCTGCTCGGCTGTGCTGCATGTGATGTTGCGGCTGGGCCCGCTGGCTGGGCGCTGACAGCTCTCGGTATGAGGCTGTCCCTCTCAGTTTGCCTGTCAATCCTCTGCGCTGGCAACTCCATGACCTGACATTTGCCAGCAGTAGCGGCAGCACACCTGCACGGGAGACACAGTTGACGTGTGAAGCGAGCTGATGCTGTAGAACTGTGTGCTGGAAATTACTTTTCTTTACTTTTATTATATAATAAATCCAAAGAGATAAAGATAATGTATTCTTATGTAAAATCTGCTGCCAAAAGTGTGAAGAGATTGTGTGTGCAGAATATTGTCATTGATGACGAGAGCTAGCAGCAGCACAGCCAACCAAAGCTCATATGGAGAAATAACCAGCTTTGGACATATGATTATACATTCACGTCTCTTCCTCGTAACTACTGTTTTGAAAAGTAAAAATAAAATTTGCTTTCTTTCTTAACAAACTATTTCTGGGTTGTTGCCTTTCTACGGCCCCGTGCATTCTATTCATTTCTGTGTGTGTTTGGTTTGAAGGGAGATGGAGAGCCAGTTGGACCGAGCCAGGGAGAGCCAAAGACAGCAGATCCAGCAGGCAGATATGGCTCTGGAGCAGTTCAAGAAGCAGGTGGAGCTCAGCTCTGAGAAGGCCTACGCTGACATGAAGCTCCAGGTCTGATGCACACCAGCCAGTGTTAGAAACAGCTGAAGCTCCTCCACTGGATGTTCTTCCATTAAAGCTGAAAGTCACGTCTTGATGGCGTCATTTCAGATCCATTGTGGTGCACAGAGGCAACACTGGAAACCGTGTTGCTGTTCAGATACTCGCCTGCACATCCAGCCGGTCTGTTGCATTCATGCACACACTGGTTGGTGTGAAGGGATGAGCATTTACGCTTCTGTTACAGGAACGTTGCTTCAGGTTTTCTGGGCCACAAAGGGAGTGAGCTGCTTGACAGACAGCAACCAAGACAATGCACACACACACACACACACACACACACACACACACACACACACACACTTGGTAGTTGTGCAGACGCAGCCTGACCACAAAGAACAGGGCGCCACGCTGGCTGTGCCTGAATTCCTCCATATGTCTTTCCCGCTCTCGTTTAGTTTCTCTCTCCCTCCCTCACTTCCACCATCTAATGATTTGCTCACAGGATCATCCTATATCCTCCTATGGGTCACTCTCTGCCACCTTTTAACTGCTCTCATACTGAAAAATCTATATGTAAGAGGCGAGAACATAATCATCCCCGGGCCGTTTTCACTCCGTCAGGCGTTCCAAATGAATGAAATGATGGATAATCCTGCTCATTAAGCAGGTGGTTTGTTTCTCTGCTACCACACATTGACCTCCTGCTTGACGTAGGCTGACCAGGCTTCGGCGGAGAACAGGTCACACGCATTAAGCAGCCAGACTAATTAGCACGTCGGGCCTGTCTTGCGATCAGCGCTCCACACTGCGTGGGCCGCTGCTTATTGGAAGAGTTTTCCAATCGATATGCGCTCAGCTCAAAACTTGTGATGCTGTTTTACAAGTCGGTTTAGCTATAGGCGTTTTTGCTGAGCTTTTTCCTCCATACTGCCAGTGTGCCGTATCGACGAGGCTGCGCTGACGGTGGTCCTACATGTTTGAAAGGGCTGCGTGTCAGAGACATTAGCAAGTTTGAGCCGCTGATTAGTGAAGTTTTTCTCCTGATCAGTGTGTCGGGGGCACATGTTGTGTTGGAACACGAGCGTTTGTGTGGGAGTCCAGTTTATGCCACAGAGCAACCTTTATTTCCCCAGACTGAAGGCAGACTGCTTGTCCTAAGACACCAGTTGAGCTGCTTGTGTGTGAAGCCTGGATACGACGTAGAAGGCAGCCAGTGACAGACGCTTGCTGTCCAAGTGATGAAACTTCATGCTCAGGGTTTTTAGGAGAGAAACAAAAGCC